GAATCATTCCTTTTATTATTAGATAGTGACTGTTTTTGTGCCTGATGTTTTCCACTTGAAATGCATTGCTCTGATATTCATAGAACTATACCTTTTGTGGGGAAGAAAGAGCAGATTTGCCTGTTGCCTTATAAGTATTTTTCTATCTTTGTATTTAAAGTGTGTTTCTTGTCAGCATCATAGAGGTAGATTTTTGGGTTTTGATGTAAACAGAAAAATATGTTATTTAACTGGTGAATTTATGTTATAATGTGTCCAGTAATTACCAATATACTTGTATTTATTCCTCTCATTTTATTTTGTGCTTTTTACTTACCCTGCTTCTCCTTCCCTTCCTTTTATATACGTAATGCGTTTTCTTTCTTCCCTTTTTTCCTCTATTCTTGGCTTCTAAGCTCTGTATTCACTGTCTTTTATTTAATGGTCATATGTTGTTCTCATCAGATAGTTTAGAACCAGGTTGTTTCCAGCCTTCCCAAAGTGAGCCAGTGCTTCCTTTGATTTACCTGCCACTTTCCTTGCTCACCATTCCAAGTTCTTTCACCTCACTCTTTCCACTGGGGCTCAGTTAACTGCTCCTTGAAATACGTCATTTAATAGTTCTCTTTTAGTGAATGTGTGTTGGTAATGGATAGGTATTTAATGTCTGAAATTTTTAAAATCTTGCTCTCATTCTCGAAGTATGATATAACTGGGCCTAGAATTCTACCTTGATATCATTTTTCTTGGTGCTTTAAGGTCTTTTCCACTGCCTCTGCTGTAGACCGTTGCTGTGAACCATCTATTCTCAGTTCATTGTTGTCCCTTTAGAGTAAACTTTTTCTTTCCTAGCATTTTAGAGATCTTCTCTAAAGATCTAAATGATCTAAATGACTTTGGCATTTGCAATTTTACTATCTTGTGTGTGGGTGGTTTCTATTTTTGGTTTCCTTGGGATGCATTATTCTTCCCAAATCTGAAAGTGCTAGTATTTAATCAGTTGTGAAAATTTTCTGCTGTTTTCCCATGAAGTGTTGCTTCTTCTCATTCTCTCTGTTCTCTTTTTTAGGAACTCTATGTATAAATGTGTGTGTTAGTTTCTTTTTTTTTTTCCTTTCCCATCTGTCTTAACCTTTCCTTCATGTTCTCTATCTCCATCTCTCTTTATTCTTCAATTTATAAATTCTGCAATTTTCTTTGTTCTCCCTCCCAGTTTATTGTATTGTCTTTAGACAGGATTATACTACTGTTTGATACTTCCATTAAGATTTTAATAATATTGACTATATTTCTCATGTCTTGACATTCCGTTTGTTTTGTCTCAGTTATACCTGATGTTTTTTTGATAGTGGCTTTTAAAAAATATTTTCAGGGTGCCTGGGTGGCTCAGTTGGTTAAGCGTCGAACTTCGGCTCAGGTCATGATCTCGCGGTTTGTGAGTTCGAGCCCCACGTCGGGCTCAGTGCTGACAGCTCAGAGCCTGGAGCCTGTTTCAGATTCTGTGTCTCCCTCTCCCTCTGCCCCTCCCCTGCTCACACTCTGACTCTCTCTGTCTTTCAATAATTAACATTAAAAAAAATAAAAAATAAAATAAAAAATATTTTCAAGTCATTATACTTGTTCATATTTTATGGTCTTTAGTAATATGCTATCTGAAATTTATGGAATTCTAATTTTTCTGTTTTTGGGGTCTGTTCACTTTCTTTTATGTTGGATGATTTCCTAGTGTGTTTTGTAATTTTGGATTATAAATGTACTTTGATTAGAAGTTTGTCTACAGGAAACCTTAACAGCCAAAGTTGAGGGTATATTCTTCCATGGAAATTTGTTTGCTTCTGCTGAGATACCTTGAGTATTGTTGATCCTGGACCATTTTTTATGCTGATTTCTAAGCTTGGGTGTTTCTGGCTAATTGTGATAGTTATAAATTCAGTGCAAAATCCACATGAGGCATCATTAGCTCATGGTTGTAGATTCTTCCAGAAGACTTTAGCTCTCCCACCTAAAAGCCAAGATGAGACAGTCTTCCTTGATGCATTCCTATTTTGATGAGTGATTTTTATTAATGACTTAGCTTTTTAAAGTCCTTGTTTTATTCCTGAGTGTCTCATTTTTTGGTCACTAGCCCTTAAAATGTGCCTGACTCCTCATCTCTTGTCCCATCTTGGTGTTTAAGGTTCAAAATGACCAAAAAATAACCTCTCTTCAACCCTCCTCCCACTGTCCAAAGACATAGTGTCGGTGCTCGTGGCACTTGTTTTCATTTCTCTTGATTTTTGTTCCCTGAGACTTACCTCTATTTCTTGCCCACATAGCTATTTTAAAAGTTGGGTTTCTAGCTAGGTATTTTATAGCCAGAGGTCTTATTTTGTTTAGTCACCCCCGTGCTGTGATCAATGGAAGTTATGTGTGGTTCATTTTTTTTCTTCTTGTCTGTGTTCCTGGTTCTATTTCCATTACAGTTGAAAAGTATTCGTTTTTTTCATAATGTGAATATACCCAAGGTATATTCTGGGAATATTCTGGGTAAATCTGGGAATGTTTATAAGGTTCATCTTATGTCATTAGGTAAAAATGCAAGCCACAGAATGTTAGGTATTATATACTTCACTTATATAAAGACAAATATTTGAGAAACTGAAAGTAATTCAGTTAGGTGGAACATGGGGTATGAGGAGGATTAGAAGACAGGAAAAGGAAATAGAGCAAAAGCTATGAAGTTGGGGTGAAAGGCATATGTCACATAATACTTCATTTGTCAAGGTAAGATATTTGACCTTATTATTTAGGCAGTAGTGAGTCAGAGGTAGCATTATCAGATCTGTTTTTTAAAAAGCCAGCTTAGGGGCACGTGGCTGGCTCAGTCGGTTCAGTGTCTCACTTTGTTTGGCTCAGGTCATGATCTTGCGTTCCCGAGTATAAGCCCCGCGTCGGGCTCTGTGCTGATGGCTCCTCGGAGCTAGGAGCCTGCTTCAGATTCTGTGTCTCCCTCTTTCTCTGTCCTTCTCCCACTCACGCTGTGTCTCTCTCAAAAAATAAATAACGTTTAAAAAAATTTAAAAAACAACAGAAAAAAAGAAAGCCAGTTTAGATTAGCAGAGTGCCTAAGTGAACATAGGTAAACCAATTAGTTTACTGGTGGTGTAGTTTGGTTAACAATTAGACTGTAGAAATGAGAACAAATGACAAAAATACAAGCAGTGTTGATGAGGCAGTGGGGGGTAAGGGGAAGGGAGAGTAGAAAAATTGAGTTATCCTTGGGTCATAGAAAGTAAGTAGGGAAATGGAGTGATCTAAGATGCCTGCCCGGTGGCTTGGAAGATGAGTAGGTAGAGTAGGTATTCCTTTGTGAACACCATTTGACTTGCCATTGGTACATCTAATTCTTCTGAAGAGGACCAGTAGGTATATGAATGATGTCCATGCACTCAGGAAAGGTGTGGGCTGGAGATTAACAACAGCAACAACAAACCACATTGGAAGTTAGATAAAATAAACATGAGAGCTGACATGTTAACAGTAAGTGCAATTGCTTAGGGATGGCATATAGAGCAAGAGATTATGTAACCAAGGGCAAAACTTTAATGAATGCCCACATGCAAAGAGCAAATAGAAAACTAAGAAGTAACTGTCAAAGTTAAGAGGCCAGCCAGGAACTTTTATGGAGGCCAGTGAAAGAGGTTTCCATTAATTTTTTTTTTTTAATTAAGTCACTGGTGAGTGACATTCAGTGTAGTTAATAAAAACAGTAATTTGGATTTTCCAGTTAGAAGGTCATTGTTAGCCTTTGCCTGGGCATGGTTAGTAGAGAAAAAGAGAGCAAAACTTCTCTAATTTAGTGATTTTAGAGGTAAATTAGGGGCTCAATTTGAGTGAGAAGTACTTTTTTTTGTGGAAAACTTCTTTGTTTTGAAAGGAAGGAGATTGCGTTAGTAGCTAGAGAGACTCTTGATCAAGTGGGCGGTGGAGATAAATTTTTTTTAATATGGAGAAATTTTTAGGCTTCATCAACTTGAGTCAACTTTATCAAGTAAATGCAGGGTCCAGAGGAAGGGGAAAAGTTGAAAATTTAAGAGAAAGCATGTGATAGAGCATGCTTCCAGAGGAGGTAGGGGTACATAGGATAGAGCATGTTTCCAGAGGAGGTAGGGTACACAAGATGACTTGAGTCATTCAAGGACATTCTTGAGGACAAGTGCAGGATGCTAATGTAGTTGAGAATCGGGGAGTCAGGGATTTGGTTTTTCCTGGTATAGGAATCAGGATCATCTGGGTTTGGAATCAGCAATAGTAACATGTCGTAAGTGGACTTGCCAAGAGTGAAGGTTTAAAATAGTCACAGAGAAGACAGGGAATGATATAGACAACTAGGAATAATTAGAAGCATTGATCAGTTTCACTGAAAGCCTCATCAAGATAAGTGACCCACATTTTTTCATGACATTTTTTATGGTAGTATGATTTTGTTTATTTGTTTTAATCTTTATTTCAGCAGGATTTAGCATCTGGGTATGATGGGTAGAATGTCAGTTTTGAATGAATATGGTAAAAGGAGAAGCAAGAGGAAAGCAATGTTGGGGAAAAATAAATAGGTGCTATTGAGGAGGTCGTTATAATAATATACCTGCTGAGCTAATACAAATGAATAGCCACATTTTTCAAAACATACTCATCTAGGACCAGGCAAAAATAGATGAAGGAGAGTAGAAACTTTAACAGTGGTTACTGGTTATTTTTTCCCAGTCCTACACTAGAGGGTTATCACATACTCATTTCAAGCACCATGGCCTACTACTTAACAATTCTCAGGATAAGGGACTTGTAATTGTAAGTCCACAAGGTAGGTGAGGATTGAGTGTCAAGATAGCAAAGACCAAAAAAAAAAAAATGCGGGAAGAGAACAAATTGTTTGGGCTGCATACATATTATTTTGATTATGTTCTTTGACTCTTTAGTAATGCTCTTGAGGGAGATACTGCATAAGTAATTAATTTTTTCTTCATTTTTTGTTTGTTTTCAAGGCTTTCTGTGAAACTTTAGAAGAGACAAATTACCGTTTTCAAAAAGAACTACTTGAAAAACAAAAAGAGGTGGAATCACTGAAGAAACTGCTCAATGAAAAGCAACTTCATATAGATACTCTAGAGAACAGAATTAGGTATATTGTGATACTTGCATTTTTGGCCTTACTAATTCAACTCAATACTCTGGGCTAAATGCCCTTTGTATTTTAATATGATTTAGGAAATTTCTGATTCCAAAAGTCTTAGACTCTTGGTATACTTCCTTGTAGGTTGGAAAAGTTGCCTTTTGATAATTTATTTAGGAGGCTGAACATTTGAAGGATGGGAAACATCAGAAAAATAAGCCTCTAGTTCAACAAGATAAACATTATTCGCTTTACCCTATTTAAGTGGCGTCTTTGTTTCAAGGCACTTACACTAATTTTTCACATGTGAAAGTTGTAGTTTGCGTTCCCATCAGCATATATTGAATTGATGTTGAAATCACTTTACATTAATCATAAGTACTAATTTCTCTGTTGACTCCCAGAGTCAGCACTTTATTAGCCATTTTAAGAATAGCTGAAGACTGGGGCACCTGGGTGGCTCAGTCAGTTGAGCATCCAACTTTGGCTCAGGTCATGATCTCACGTTCATGGGTTCAAGCCTCGCATCAGGGTCTGTGCTGATAGCTCACAGCCTGAAGCCTGCTTCAGATTCGGTGCCTCCTCTCTCTACCCCTCCCCCGCTCGTGCTCTGTCTCTCTGTCTCTCAAAAATAAATGTTAAAAAGAAAAAAAAAAAAAAAGAATAGCTGAAGACTGCTAAAGCTACATGTATTTACAAAAACAAACCAGTATTTATTTGTAGGAAATAACTTGTTGCTATAATGTACTTTTAGAACATTGTCTTTAGAACCTGAAGAATCACTGCTCATATGTGGAACGGAAGGTGGACACATCCCAAAGGTGGAGTCCTCTGCACCTGAAGTTGATAGAGATGATTTACATGAAGAATCTAGGTAAATAATATTTGGTTTATTGTAGCCCAATCATCTGAATAACTAGAGGCAAATAGGCACTAATACTCTATAGAGTATTTTTTATGAACCCAGTGTTACTGTATCATAAATCTCAGCAGAGAAAGACTTACAGATATTCTAAGTTGTGCCTAAAAATGAGTGTTTACAATCCAGGCTGTAAATGTTATTACTTACTTTGAAGATATATCTAAATTAAGTACTCAGTTAATTTATTAATTTTGTAAAGCTTGACAAATTAATCTCTCTCAGTCTTTTTCCATTCAAAAAGTGGGATACTGTAATAGCAACCAGCCTGCCTACCTACAGGAATGATAAAAAGATAGTATATTTGAAAGCACATAGAATATTTATTACTTATAAATCCAAAGTCATCATTAATACTTTAGTGGTAGCAGGTAAGCTGTAATTATGAGAACAAATTTTATATTGGTGAAAGTCACTATATTTTATTGATAAATGATAGTTGAAAGAGCTGAAAGAATTAAAAATATATCTCCAAAGGTGTTGTAACAACAACTTAAAAATGATTAAATTTCTGATCAAATATTTAAATATTCTTTTCCATGAAATATTTCCCATTAATATTTAAATATTCTTTAGGTAAAATTTGAAAGGTGATAGTGAAGGGAAACAGCATGTATCTAATCCCTTTATTGACATGTTTCTCTTTTTTGCAGAGCTGATGATAAGCCATGCTTAAGTTTGAGTGAACCTGAAAATTCTGTATCAGACATAGAAGTAGCAGAAGTGGCATACAGTGCTGAGGACGACTAACTGCGAGCAGTTCCTTCCATTTCTCTGTTTCGGCAAATTTAGAATAGAGTGGGAAATAGTTAAAAATAAAAGAAAGACTGAAGCATTTACAGAAAACAAAAAGATTGCACATGTATAAAGTTTACATAAAGAAAAGTTTTTTAAGTTATTGGGATAGGAAATGTATTCATTGCTGCTTTAAACTATCTTTTATCCAACCTTTGTATTTAATACACCAAAAAAAAATCTAGTTAGAATTCTGTTATCAAAACTAAATTCTTAAATAATGTGCATAAATTATTTTGGCTTTTTGCCAATATATTGCTCCAAACTAATGTGTGTATGTGCGCGTGTGTGTGTGTGTGTGTGTGTGTGTGTGTGTGTATGCGTGTCTCTGTTTGTGTTTAAATTGCCAATTATATCAGTTAAGTGGACATTAAATGCATGTTGCTATCTGGTTGATATATACTTCTTTGTATCTCTGACATGATATATTTTCATTAGTGGTTTAAATCAGTGGTAAAGATGAATTAAGTTTTAAATATTGATATGTTTGCCATCTGTAAATAAAAATTGCCTGTTGCAATGTTATTGCTATTTAAAAAGAAGAAAACTTTCTAATACCAAAGGAAAACTATTTGAAAGAGCTATAGTAACATATAATAGCATAGCTAAAGTGATAAAATAGCCTTGATTTTAAAAGCTAACTCATTATCAGAATATTATAAGTGTCCTAGTTTATTATAATATGTTGTACTGATTTTCCACATAATCTTTATCTTAAATCTCTACCTGTAGAATCAGTGAGTTTGCCTCTTTCAGAATACTACCTCTTTTTGCTAATCAAAATATACTCTTTTGAAAATATTGATTCTAAGCAAAAGGGAGTTATAAAAAAAAAAAACACAAAATAAAAAGCCATATATACTATAAAGTTCCTAACTATATTGACTCCTGGGATTGTATTTTTATCTCTGCATATGTGAATATGTTGCTATAATGTATTAAGGCTGATTTTCCTTTTAATATATTTAGCCAAGTGATGCACTTTATGATAATTAAACTCTTTTGTGCCAAGTTTAATTGGTGAATTTCTTTAGTAAGTGGAGTTAGGAAGAACTTATGTAGTGCCTTCACTGTTTCACTTTTATACACCAGTCTGCTAGAATCTGTGTCAGCTTTATGAAAAAGTGTTTATTTCAGATTTGCTTATAGTTGTTCAAAGTGCCTTGTTTCGTTTTTATAATATGTAGTTACTCATTTATTTTCTATTTCCACTGCTTTGCATATTGCTGTTAATAAGTACTGTGATCATGCTAGCATTCTGAAATTCCACTTGGTTTTTTGAACTGCATGTGCTTTCTAAAAGCTGAGGGAAACTTACTAGGGAAATAGAATAACGATCTCCAGTTTTGTTTCCTTCACTATCTAAAAGTTTATCGGTATCTTGATGTACATATTAAAATGTGGTTGTTTAAAATTCTACTTAAGTAGATAAAAGATCAATTGGCCAATTGGCTATTGTCAACATTTGATCTAAAAAGGGACTGCTTTTTACCAAAGGACCAAAAATTGTAAAAAAAAAAAAAAAAAAAAACCTTTGTCCAAATGCACAGGTATGTTTTGTCTCAAAATATATTCCACAAAGTATACTAGAAATGTGTTTACTATCTTGGGAGATAGAAAGAATATAATAAACTATTCTATCTGTTCATTTCAAATATTCTAGGCCTAAAAAGGCGTAAAAAGAACAATCATTTAAATTAATATCATTTTTAGTCGAATAAAACAAGATGATCTTTGCTGAATTTTAGACATTATAGTGCTATATTCATGTCTGCTTTAAAGTGAACCATACATTTTCAAAATCTAGCCTTTAAGAACATTGTATGTAAAGTTTTGGATGAGTAAAGAAAAACCCTTGTTGATAAGCCACTATTATTTATATTTAGAATTTACTTTTTTTTTTTTACTTTTGTGATGCATTTTATTCCCAGTATTATATTCATTTAATAAATTATTTTTTCAGTACAGCAGTAGCTATGTTGTTTAGATCTTGAATACCATTTTCCCCCTTCAATTTCAATGTTCTCTCTATCCCTTACAATTATTGTAAATTTAATTATACTTAACTGCTGCATTTCACAGACATGGAATGAGTTTATGATTTTTTTAAGTTTATACTTCATATTACTGATAATTTTAAGTCTTTGTGAATAGGTGCAGTACACTTCATATGTAACCAATATTAATAAAAAAAATTGAACATAATTCAAGCAGAAAATACTTTTGTGGATAATCTTTTAACTTAAGCTTCTAAAAATTAAGTTCCTGTATAGGTAGTAAAACCATAAAACTTAGCATTTTAAAATGCATTTTATTTGTCTACTATCCTGAGATTACACATTTAAAGCACATTTATTTAGAAAATCATGTTCCTCAGATAAATTATGTATGTAGTCTACTCTAACCATCTGTGATATCAGAAGGGAACAGTGGCCTTCAGTCTGCAAATAATTTGTCTGGTTTTGAAATGAGTTTTGTTACTTACAGGAATAGAGGAGTTTGGGGATTATGTTAAAAACAAGTCTGTATTCCTAACTAGTAAGGAGAAGAATCTAAATTTTATCCTCTGGAAGATTTTCAAAGAGCCACATAGATTATCCACATTTTACTTCTTCCTAAAGATAATAGAATTATCTTTACTGTATTGCACTTTGCTTCTGTGCTGTTGGCTTCTACTAGCAAAACAATCATTAGAACTTGTACAACACAAGTGTTTTTAAGGTTGATGTCTGCTATACTACATAGTGTACCCTTTATGAGGACTCATGGGAGAAAATTCTCTTAGGTCTCAGTAGCAGTAAAGCCTGTTCTTAAAGAATTGGTTTATTTTTATCCTAAAGACTCTGTTACTGTGTTTCTCTTTTTTGATTTGTTTTTGGAGCAGCCTTAAGCCAAATTGTAGGTCACCTGTAACTACCATATAGAACCTTAGGAGTTGTGCTTTTGTGTAGTAAACATGATTTTATTTTTTTTTTCTTTCTCAACTCCAGTTTTCCTCCCTGTTTAAGGTCTTCAGTTAGGAGAGATGTATATTTCTGTTCTGATAAAGTCTCAGATTTGAATGATATTTTAGGCTACATTAGATAAGAACTTGTCATAGTCTGTGCTAACAAAATTACTGCACCAGTATGGATGGCAGTTCTTAGGGTGCCTGGTGGCTCCGTTGAGCATTAGACTCTGTGCTCACAGTGCAGAGCCTGCTTGGGATTCTCTCTCTCTCTTTTTCTCTGCCCCTCCCCCACTTACACACATGCACTCTCTCTTGAAACAAACATTTTTTTTTAAAGGATGGCAGTAATTACACAAAGCTAAATTATTCTTCCCTTTAAAAGATGTCTTGAAGTAGAACATGTGAATATGGAATGTAAACTTAGACAAGCTAGCCAAGGGCAATCTATGGGTATGTTCGTGGCTAAAGCACAATATTAATTAACTCAGATTATGGTTTTAACCATAACCTTAAATTAGAAGACCCACTTGCCACTTTCTTATTTATCATTGACAGAAAAGTTAGAATAGTGTCATTAGCTCCACACAAAACAATAATAAAAATCAATACAGGTAATATATACTCAATAGCCAAAGGTAGTGTTTTATTGTAATAGATAAAGGGTAAGACCTGGTATACGTCTAATGGAATGTTTGCAACCTAGCTAATTGTAATCAAAGAAGTATTAGATGCTGGCTAAAGTGCTTTGCTAAGGTGTGAAATGAAAAGCACACCTTGGAGTGATTAAGCTTATATCTGGAAGATTTCTTAGAATTAGGTCATATGCAGAGGCGCCTGGGTGGCTCAGTCGGTTGAGCCTCCGACTTCGGTTCAGGTCATGATCTCATGGTCTGTGAGTTCGAGCCCTGCATCGGGCTCTGTGCTGACAGCTCGGAGCCTGGAGCCTGCTTGGGATTCTGTATCTCCCTCTCTCTCTGCCCCTTCCCCGCTCATGCTCTCGCTCTCACTCTCTCTCTCTCTCTCTCTGTGTCAAAAATAAATTCTAAAAAAAAAAATTTTTTTTAATTAAAAAAAAAAAAAGAATTAGGTCATATGCCAGTCCTGTCTTCCAGTTCCCTGTATAGCAAATACCATTCATTGACTAACCCGAAAGATTCTTTGCCCCCTCCAAAGTAGGAATGAGATAAACTGAATACTTATTTTCTCAGCTCCCCTTGCAACTAGGTTTGAACTTCTGACCCGATTATGGGCAGTGAGATGGATAGAAGTATGCTGGCAATCCACTTCTGGAAATCACTTGCTTTTCCTGTAAGAAGGTAAGCATACTGCTGATACAGCCTCTCCTCCCCCACCTCCCCGCCCCCACCTTGTTTTGATCTCAAGGAATGTCTGGAGGTGCTATGAAAACCATCTTGCAAATACAGTGTGGCAAGTGTGAGTGAAGGGTAAGGGAATCACAGAGAGTCTAGCCACTTGTTAAACCACTAAAAATTGTTTTTTGTTGTACCATGATAAAACCTATTTTTTTTAATTTGAGCTGTAGGTTTAACCACAGGATAAAAAGCTTATCAAACAAAAAGGCTTTTCTTCCTGTGAAGATATTGTATATTTTGTTAGTAAAGAAAAAAGATTAAAGGAGAAAATTTTTTTCTTGAAACCTGAAAGGGAGAGAACCATCTATTAGACATACCAAAGATCGCTTACTTCTGAGGCTCCTTTAGGCAAACCAAATACGAAAGAGAAGGCAGCCTGTTGTTCTACACATGTGGACTAGTCTTCTCAGACTGCTAGAACAAAATAACTGCAGACTGGATGGCTGAAACAGGAATTTGTGTTCTCAAGGTGCCAGCAGAGTGGGTGGTGTCTGCTGAGGGCGCTTTCTGGTGTCTCATTAGGACATCAGTCCTGTTGGATCAGGACACTACCCCTGTCTCATTTAACCTTCATCACTTCCTTGGAGGCCCCATTTCCAAATACAGCCACACTCAGGGGTTAGAGCTTCAACATAGGAATTTGAGGGGGACACAGACATTCAGTCCCTAACAGTATAGGACAGATGTAACATCATTCTATGGTTACAAAGATATTTTGCGGTTCGAAAGGTTAAAGTGCATAGTGTATTCCTTCATTTGTCCATTAGACAAACATTGAGCACCTACTGTGTGTTAGCTCTGGGTTATAAAAATTGTTGAGAAGCACATGATCCCTTCAAGTAGTTCACTGATACAGTTTTTTATACAGGCTGATCTGTATGCTGTACGGCATTGTGGTGAGCGTGGTGATAGACATAGCAGTTGTGATGAATTACAGGGACGAGAGGGCTGGAAAGGAGGACAAGTATTAGCCAGTGTAGAAGTATATAGCTTTAGCTGCTTCTTAAAAGTAGAATAGAAGGGCATGCCAGGCAGAAGAGGGAGTCCACTTCAGGCTGTGCAAGTGGCAGGGATCATTATTATCCATAATTCCTTTTTCCATCCAGCACGTTAATTCTACCTCCAAAGTCGAAGCCACTTACTTACCTGATGTGATAGGTCGAAAAGGGACACACAAACCACACTACATACCTTAAACATTTTAACTTGATGCACGTATATTCATTGCCAATGTTTAAATAGAGGTGCAAAGCTCTGGGCTGATGGCTCAGAGCCTGGAGCCTGTTTCCAATTCTGTGTCTCCCTCTCTCTCTGCCCCTCCCCCGTTCATGCTCTGTCTCTCTCTGTCCCAAAAATAAATAAACGTTGAAAAAATAAAATAAAATAAATAGAGGTGCAAAGCCTTTCTTTGGTATGCTTTTACTAATGAGCACTCTGGTTCTCCCTCCAGCTAAGCCATACCCCTGATGCATTTTCTGATACCTAGCTTTAGTTTCTGTAGAGTGAAGGCATGAGATGTGTATGAAGGAATCTATGACAGCACATTTTTCCATTTTGTTTGCAGTCCTGTATTGCTATCTTGCCTATACTGTTACGAAGTCTTTCCAAATCATCTGACCTAGTTTTCCCTAGAAATGGTCATTAATAGTCATATTTCATTGTTTCATATAATGTTAATAGCCTTATTTACATTTAATTTTAAATACAGCTGTTATATACAAATTTGGAAGCAAACTGATGCTTGGTAATCACACAATTCTCTTGGGAGGAAACAGGAGTGTGCAGATGTTCTAAGAAGGAACCAACTAGCCACAAGCATTCAGGGTGTCCTGGATGTCAGTGAGCGCGTTTTATACAGAAGATGCAGAACTTTGGCAGATCAATTATGAATTCTAGAGTTGGGGTGGAGGGCAAGGGGATGAGTTACCCTATACTTTGTCCAATTCTCTTTATCTTCACTGCCAGTCACCCTGGTCCAGATCACAAGGATCTCCCTGCTTCCACCTTCACCCCTACAATCCAGTCTCCCAAGGCAGCCATGGTTTTCTTTTTGAGAAACATAAATCACTGCATGTTTGTTCTCCACTTAAAAACTTTCAGAGGTTTCCCATTATGTTCAACATTGTAACATTCTTTTTTTTTATTTATTTTTTTATTTTATTTATTTTTGAGACAGAGAGAGACAGAGCATGAATGGGGGAGGGTCAAAGAGAGGGAGACACAGAATCCGAAACAGGCTCTAGGCTCTGAGCCGTCAGCACAGAGCCCGACGCGGGGCTCGAACTCACGGACCGCGAGATCATGACCTGAGCGAAGTCGGCCGCTCAACCGACTGAGCCACCCAGGCGCCCCCAACATTGTAACATTCAGATATCTATATGGCCTACAAACATGATTTCACTCTGCCAGTTACTCTGCCTGATGCCAGCCCGCATGGCCCCCTTTCGTTTCCTTGAGTCTTCTGCCTTCTAACCTGGCCGTATCTCCTCTCTAGATTGTTACTCCCAGAATCCTATCAGGCTCTTGTCTTAAATCACAGGTTACACGTTACCTCCATAGGCAACCTGAAATAGTACCCAAAACAATCAACTCCATCTTAGATTTCTTACTTTTTTATTGTCTGTTTCACCTGCCTACCTCCTCCGTGCTTCCCCTAAAAGGCAAGGCGTTGTCTTTTTCTCCCTCTCATCCTTGCTCTTCTCCACCACCACCGAGCTTAGGAGAAGATCTGGCACATAGTAGGTACTCAAAAATGTTTATTGAATGATTAAGATAAAGGCCTAAATTACAGAAATATTAGAGAAAATAGAGGCATTTGAAGGAAAAGTAAGTCTTGTAGATTGATAATCTCTGGGTAGATTGATATGCTACTAACTGAGGAA